GGTTTTGGTATTAAGGTTATGCTTGCTTCATAAAATGAGTTAGGGAGGATTCCATCCTTTTCTATGTTTTGGAATACTCCTCAAATGTATTTTTAAATTCATTCATTGATTTTCTAAAAATTATTGTGTGTCTGCTGGGTGCAAACTGCTGAATATAGGCCCTATGGGGAAATGAAAAGACCAAGGAGATAATTTAATGGAAGAGGAATAGCAAAATGCTGTGTAGGCTGATAGGATGAAGCAGTTAATTTTTCCAAATGTAAGGAGAGCATGGAGGTGTAAGGGAGTGGCAGAGGAGGCTGCATAGAGGGTTTAGAGAAAGTGTCCCAAAGCCTTAAGTGGCCTTGATAGATTTTTGTAGGTGGAGGATAGGGCCTATTAGTATTCTAGATGCAGATAAAAGTCTGAGCAAAGGCACTTGGCATGGCAGGAAGTCTGGGATAACAGGTAAATGGAAAGGTTTGCTAGATGCTGACCCACAATGCAGTTGGCAGTGCAGTCTGATGAATGAAAATGAGCCTTCAATATCATTCCAGGGAGTCTGGGATTTGTTCTGTGAGAACTCATCAGAAGATTCCAAGTTGGGACTGGCCTGGTTTGACTTGGCTCTTAGAGGATGACTCTGGCACCATGTGAAGGTTGGATTAGAAAGGGAAGAGAATGAATAAAACAAGTAAGTTAGGAAGCTATTATGGTAGCCCAAGCAAAGATGATAATCATAATAATAGCCAACATTTAATGACAAGTTTGTTACCACATGACAGCCTGTGTTTTAAGCACTTCATGTATTAACTCATTTAACTCTCACAAACAACATTTATGAGATGGATACTACTATTATCCTCCTTTTACAGACGAGGCTCGGTGAGGCACGGTGAGGTTAAGTTCTTATCCAAGGTCACATGCCTAATTAGTGGTAGAGCCAGGACTCAAACTAGGAAAGTCTGACTTCAGAGCACATGACCTTATCCACAAGGCACACACTCACATAATAGTCATGAGAAAAGACAAACTCCAGGACTTTGATGAGTCGTCACTGACTCCTAAATTTCCAGGTATGGTAATGGAAGTTTGTGATGCTATCAGTTGAAATAAGATCTTGAGGGAAAAGACATTGATGAAGGTTGGGGGGATGAGGTAAGGTAATAAACTGTGTAGGTATGAAACCAATAGGCTCTTCATTTGGAGAAAATTGGCATAAGCTCAGAAATTTAGATTTGTAGGTCAGGGGCTTAATAATAGAATTCTATCTTGAAATCATGAAGCTGATGAGATGGCTCAAGAAGAAAGTGTAGAAGCAGACCCAAATGTCTAATGGGACCAAACAGGTAACATCAGTATGGAAGTTGGACCACGTGGAATGTAGGTCAATGGCTGATGTCAGCACTGGTACATGCCCTCTTTATTATTTTTATTTTTTACATATCCAGTTGGCCAGAGAGTGGGGTGGGAAAAGCTGGGTAAGTAGTCCACACTTACATTTAAATTGTGGACAGAGGAAGAGGAGGCAGGGGGAGGATGGTCCAGAGTGCTGAGAGAACTAGGAGTCACTCATTCCACAAAAGTCTTAAAGAAGGAAAACTTGAAGCTGTAAATTGTTGCAAAAGTGTGAGTTGGCTCGGTACTGGGATGAAACTGATATTATTGCCAAAGAGTAGGTGACCTCTGGGAGAGCTACTTCTTTGGAATGGAGAGACAAAGAGATTATGGAGGGAGTGGAAGTAAGAGAGTGAAGCGAGTAAGTGGCAACTCCTATTTTAAGAAGTTAATAGCGGAGAAAAGGGAGATGGGATGGTAACTTGTGAGGCGAAGCAGGGTTGAAGGAAAGGTCTTATTCAAAGATAGGGGAGTCTTAAGGCCTGAATAGAAGGGGAATCATAAGAGACTCAAGAAAATAAAAGGGGGTAATTGATAGCACCTGGTCTATTGGGAGATTGAAGGAATGGGCCCATAACTACAGTTGGGAAAGGTTAAATCTTATTCCCAAATAAATGTCAGGAAATGGAGAGGGCAGGATGAGGACAAAGAAAAAAAAAACAAAAAACTTTTTTTGCAATTTAGGATAAGAAAATTGAGATTAAGTTTGTGTCAGATGTCCTCAGTCTGCTTTGAGAAGGCCTGATATCAGAACCTGAGAAGGTAGAAACATCCAAAGCAGCCCCATGGACAGTGGGAATAGAGAATCTGAACTGGGCTCCAGGCATGAGAGACTTTGCAGAGATTGGATTACTGGATTCCTAAAGGAACAAACTCATCAAGTCTTGCAGTATTTCCACCACTCCCTCACTTAGCTGTAGGAGCGCTGGTGATGCAGCGCCTGAGGCATTTGACTACCAAATGAGAACACTGATGCTGGACTTTTCTCTGTGTTGTTATTATTGCTGGTGGCTGCTGAGACAACCTTGTCTCATGGTGACCCAATGCATAATGGAACAAATGTGGTCCATAGGGTTTTCACTGGCTGATTTTCAGAAGTAAATCACTAGGTAAATCACTGGGCCTTTCTTCTTACTCAGTCTGATCTGGAAGCTCCACTGAAACTTGTTCAGCATCCTGTTAGGAGTGGGCAAAATGGCTGGAGTGGATGTTCAAGGAACCAGAGTATGCAGGGTGCTAATGAGTGTGCTAGGTGTGGTGGACTAGACCAAGAGGCAGCTGGTTTGAATGTGCCAGTCCAGCCATCCAAACAAGAGAATACCCTGTTTGTTGATTGGGAATGTCCCTGCCACTTATGTTTTAAGTTTACTTTAAATGTGCAGTAAATAAATTTTGTATCTAAAGATTTAGTGAAGGTAAGTCTATAACATGATATCTTAATTGAGAAGATAAAAGATTCTCAAATTTATAGATGACTTCTTGTGGGGTTGGTTTGCATTTGTTTTCAGAGGTCGGCAAAGGCATTTCACAAATATCCACAGTGTCTCTTTTGGAAACGGACATAGTGGAAGTGATGGTGCTTGTCCTGCTTCCAGAAACAGGAAGAAGCAAACTGGAAATATTTACTCTGCCTACAATCCTACCCCAAGGTAAAGGAAGAACAAGTGAGCAGTCCTGTCCTATGCCCAGATTAGGTGCTGCTGTAGCTTTTTTATTTATTTCTGTTGGAAACATAAACATGCAAAGAGGTAAAATAACTACCTTTTGTACATCTTTACAAAGTGAAGCTGATGGAACTGCTAAACCATTTGAAATGTGGGCTCTCCTCTCAGCCTTGTGACTCTTGTATGAATCTGTTTTATTACCAGAGAAAAGAAATAGGACCTACTGACACTTATGTCTAGTAGATTTGTCGTTTTATGGTATCTCTTATCTGGTAGCTTTATATAATACAGTTTAATTCAGGGAGATTACGATGTAGTTACCCTTTATGATAAAATTATAAAGAAAGCTTTTTGGATAAGTATGTATGAGAAAATAAACACTCTTTCTTTGTCTTAGATGACAAATGCAGCTTGTATGGTTGTTTTTCAAATATGTAATTATAAAGCATAAAAGAGTTGAAAACCTGAAAGCCCTTTATGTTTTAATTAAGAATTCCTTTACGATCATAAAGGAGCGCTGGTAATGCAGTGCCTAAGGCATTTGACTACCAACTAGAAGGTTGGTTTGAACCCGCCAGCTGCACCACAGAAGGAAGATGGGGCAGTCTACTTCCATAAAGATTGACCAGCTAGGAAACCCAGTGGGTATTGCTATGAGTCAGAACTGACTCGATGGCAGTGAGTTGGGGTTTTTCTTTTTTTCGGTTTTACCATCACAGGAGCCCCTGAGTAGTGCAAACAGTTAGCATAGTTGGTTGCTAACTGAAAGGTTGGCGGTTTGAGTCACCCAGAGGCACCTCAGAGGAAAGGGAGGTAATCTCCTTTTGAAAAATCAGCCACTGAAAACTCTGTGAGGCACAGTTCTACCCTGACACACACGGGCTGCTGTGACTCAGAGTGGACTCCACGGCAATTGCTTTGGTATGCATGAGTTTACTCGAGACCTTACAAAAGACATTTTACTCACTATCAATCATTTAATACTCAAGTATTTCTAATGGAACCAACCTTGTTCTGTTTTTTTTAAATCACCTGGTAGCTTCTGCATAAAGGAGCCCTGGTGACACAGTGATTAAGTGCTTGGCTGCTAACTGAAAGGTTTGCAGTTCAAACCCATCAGCTGCTCTGCAGAAGAAAGATGGGGCAGTCTGCTGCCATAAAGATTTACAGCCTCAGAAACCCTCTAGGGCACTTCTGTCCTATAGGGTCTCTATGAGTCAGGATCGACTTGGCGGCAGCAGGTTAGGTTAACGGGTTTAGTCTCTGCAATATTAATTAAACACTTAAAAATATTACATAGTTTTTCATAATTGTTCATAATGATTAAAAAAAAATAAAGTCGCTATATGGTGCAAGTGATCTTTCTTCTTCCCCAAATCTCACAGTTGTTGCCACCTTTGCTGATGAAAGAGGAAGGCTGAGAAATGAATTCATTCATAAGTACCTGTATGAGATCGACCACATGCTCTCCTCAGCAGTCTTGGATTTTCAAAACCACCACATTTTTGGCTTCTGTAATCACATGCCGTACATCTGTACCTATCTTCTTCCTGAAACAGTATGCTGAAACTTAAGTGTGCTATAATTTATCTTAGAAGTCAAGGGTTATACTGTGTATTAATTAGGCATACTCTTCTTAGCTGCTTTAACGTATGAGTCTAGTCACCAAATGGCTTAATTATACATATAGACATAACTTCCTTGCATTAGACCTATGTTAGCGTAATTTCTTCATCTACCGTAAATTATGCTGACACATGTCACACTTCAAAAAAAAATTTTATTGTGATGTGGGTGAAAGTTTACAGAGCAAATTCATTTTCCATATGGCAGTTTGTGCACATTTTATTTCATGATGTTGACTCCAGTTCCCCACAGTGTAACAGCTCTCTTCCCACTTTCTCCCTGGACTTACCTCTTCCCTGTGTCCTTCTTCCCTGTGCATTCCTGCCCAATAAGCTATCTTCCTGTGCAAACACTGCCCTTCTGTGCTCCCATGATTAATTGTTCTAAGGAGTGTATCTGCCTGATGTCAATGTTCACCCTATATGCCTGTCTATTGTTTGGCTGGAAGCCATGGTAGTGAGTTCAAGTACAGACCTGAAGGGTAACTAGGGGCCATAGTCTCCAGGGTCTCACCAGGCTCCAGCAGACCAGTAAACCTGGTCTTTTTTATGAGCTTGAGTTTAGTTCCACATTATTCTCCTACTCTACCCAGGATCTCCAGCACTGATCCCATTGTGAGTGGTTGACAGTGGTGGTCGGGCACCATCCAGTTCTTTGGGTTTCATGGTCACATAGACTGAGATTCACATGGTTCACTAGCCCCTTAGACTAATTGTTTCCATGTGTCTTTGTGACTCATCTCACACTTATGTCACATACATCATGCTTTTCAGATATATATATATATATATATACACACATACACACACACACACATACAGATGACACACATACAGGTGAAATATATATACACACATACAGGTGACACAATATTCATTTAATGCCTTTAAAAGAACAATCTAGCATTAGGAAATCTGCTGCATAGGTTCGAGGGACTATAGAGGAGATGATTTACAGTGGAACTTTGTGCCTAAGCCCGACCCACAATTGCACAAAATAATTAATCTATGTTTTGGTATCCTGGCATCACTCTCTTCAAACTTCTCGCACGTATTTCTCCTGCTGCACTGGCCCAGTGTCCTCCGGCTGCCTTTTGGCCATTCAGAGTTCTGTACTGAAGTCTGTCTTCTTGCTCCAAGATTATCTACCACCATTCCTCTCTAGATCCTTCAGTCAAAGCCTTTCTTTCCCAGAGTACCCAGTGTAGGCAAGGTATTAGAAACAGAAGTTCAGAGAAGGAAAACATGGTGTATAGCAAAGGAGAATCTGCAAAAGCTTTATGCGGATTTTGAAGACTAAATCAGAATTAGATGTGGAGAACTATTGTGAGCAGTCTTTGGGGTAGATGAAAGGGGAAGGAGTGGTAAAGGGCATTCTAGAAGAAAGGAAGGGTGTGTGCAGAGGCTTGGAGGTTGGAATAGATGCAACCCGTAGGGGAAATTGACTGTTTTGACTTGAGCAGGGAATATATGAAAATGATTAGTAAAAACAAAAAATTGTCGATGTAGACTGGGATCTAACCCATAAGGAAGACTGAACCTATAAAGGCTAATCTATAAAGAGGAGTTTTCTTAGTTGGCAGAAACAGACTTTTGTTTGCAAAAAAAGTTAAAAACACAGTATGAGCACAGGTGTCCACTTAATCGTTTATCATTGTTACCAATGACAGTGTCTGTGGGTTTGCATCTAACTGTACACACACAACAGCAAACCTAAGGTGCCACCCCTTGACTTTTCTATAATGTGATCACTCTGTTTTATCGGCAGGAACATACTGGTGTGTGCATTCTGAAACCCTTCCAAAAAGCACAAAGCAGACATTACGGAGGTGGAAAGCTGTGTCTGTCTTCTCATGGAATCTGGCTCTTCAGTACAGCTAAAGATGGATTCCTCTATATCCGAAATGCTTATACTTTGGTAAACTTTTTTTTTTTTTAATTGTAGGAAGTACATAATGATCTTGTATAAGGAACAAAAGCTCTTAGAAAAAGAATTGGATCTCTGATGTGGAACAAAACTCAAAATCATAAAAATAAGACCAGATTTACTGGTCTGATAGAGCCTGGTGAGACCACCAAGTCTATAGCCCCTAGTTACCTTTCAGGTCTGGACTTGAACTCACTCCTGTTGCTTCCAGCCAAACAACAAACAGGTATACAGGGTGAGCATTTACATCAGGTAGATATGCTCCTTAGAGTGATCAATCATGGGAGAAGAGAAGGACAGTGTTTGCACGGGGAGGTAACTTGGAGGGCAGAATGCCTAAGAAAGAAGGACACTGGGAAGTGGTAACTACAGGAAGGAAGTGAGAAGAGAGTAGTTACATTGTGGGGACTGCAGTCAGTGATGTGAAACAAAATGTGTATGAGCTGCTGTATGGAAAATGAATTTGCTCTGGAAACTTCCACCCAAATCAAAAGGAAGGAAGGAAGGGAGCGGGGAAGGATGGAAGGCAGGCAGGCAGGAATGGAGGGAACTCTGGAGCTCTTTAAGTAAACTGATTCGTAACTTATTTACCACTGATGGTATTGTTCATTTTTAAATTTTATTGGTGTTTTCGTGTGTATCTGTTTGCATCTTTAAGGGAGGAAACCCCAGCCAGTGGCTGAGCTGTGCAAATACAGAGCCCAGGCTTGGGGTGCAGGAGGTGAGCTCCAGCCCAGCACCAGCATAGGTTAGCTGTGTGTGTCTTGACCACTCACTGAGATTCACTGAGCTCCCGTTGCTCATCTGTAGACTAGGAAACCACACTTGCTCACGGTCCTGCTTTCTTGCAGGATTCTGGTGAGGCCCTGTGGGGCGGTATACAGGAAACTTTGGCAACAGTGAATCATTGTGCAAACAAAAAGGATTATTACTGAGCTCTCCCTGTCCTGGGGGCCTCCAGGCGGCTGGCTGCTGCCCTACCCTACTCTTGGCAGGATGCTGGGAGAGCGGACAGGGGAGGTGTGGCCCTTAGTGAGTCCTCCCCATCACTTGCACACCTCAGTGCCACCAATACCACTGCTACCATTTCCGACTTCCATTATTTTCAGACCTCTGAGAAAGTAAAATTAGTTCTTTCTCCCAAACAGCTGAGGGATACTTTTCCAGGTGTACTGGTCATCACTGTAACTGAATGTGCTCAGGTTTCTACAGCACACACCTGAAGCATTGCTTCTACCCACATGACACACTCCACGGAGCCATAGATAATCTGGGCCACTGGTTACATCCATTCTGACTCCTCTCACTCTCCTCTGCAAGAAAGCATATTTGGAATACAATTGAGCAAAAGCGATATTGCCAACATAAGGGATAAATCTGGAATCTGCTAGAGATTATTCTTAAGAGAACTCTTTGCAAACTCTGCTATGACCTTTCTTAGGAACCCTGGAGGCATAGTGGTTAAGCGGTCGTTGGGAACTAACCAAACGATCAGAGGCTCAAACCCACTAGCCACTGTGAGAAAGATGTGACCTCTGCTTCCCTAAAGGTTAACAATGCTGGAAACCCCCTGGGGCAGTTCGACTCTGTCCTGTAAGGGTCTCTGTGAGTTGGAATTGACTCAACAGTAACAGGCTCTCTCTTGCTCTCTTTGCCTTCACTCTTTCTTACTCAAATGATTTGTAATGCAAGTTATAACTGATATTGACAGGACATGGCAAGACATCAGAGTTGTTCTAGGCTAGTCTATCACTTACACTAGCAGGAAAGCATCTCATATAAGAGACTATTCGTGGCAGCACTAATAATAAAAACAACCTAATGTCTCTCAACAGAGGATTGGGTAAATTATCAATGGTAAAGAGAATGTAAATAAAACATGTATAAAATAAAATACTATGCAGCTGTAATACAAAAGAAAACTTTCTGCAATGATACAGAAAGAGCCTCAAAGAATAACGCTGAGGAAAAAGCAGGAAGTGTAATATGCATTTTGGGAGTTCTGGTAGTGTAGTGCCTAAGGCACTTGACTGCTAACCAGAAGGCTGGCGGTTCAAACCCTCCAGCCACTCCTCGGAAGGAAGGTTGGGCAATCTACTTCCTGGTGATACCGCCTCGGAAACCCCAGGACGTCACTATAAGTTGGGTCTCACTCGAGGGCACATAACAACAACAACAACAACACTGTCATTCCAGACAAAATACTCTTCACCAGAAGGAAAGGACTGATTAGTAAACAAAAGTGCTGTAATCTCCTTAGAAAAGGCACGTGGTGGACTTACATTGATCATTTCTGCATTTTGTTTCTAAAACTGTTTAGGAAACATTTGTTGGGTGTCAGAGCCATTCTTACCACGGGCAAGGAATTCAGTCATTGAAAATTTCAATGGATGGACAAGACATTCTGGTGAATGGGAAAAATGACAGCACTCTGATCTGTCTAAAATGGAAGTACGTATGGTACACAGTAAGCAACTGTGCAGGGCGCGGGAGGAGCAGCCTCTCTTTTGCCAAATGGTTGGAGGAGCACAAGGCGGAATGAGGATAATTCAGAATAGTAGATAACTTTGGAAGATCAGACTTAACCTCTGAAAACCCTGACCACGTTTGTGTGTGTGTGTGTGTGTGTGTGTGTATACATAGACAGTTTAGTTTCTTAACTCTATCTCACTTAAACCAATATGAAAGTATGTAGACTTTGCTTAGGTTAAAATAACTAACACAGACAAATACTACCCAAGCATGCAGATGATGACGGAGAGGTAGAGGGCGTGAAATGTGCTAGGGACACAAAGGAGAGCTTGAACTTCAAAAGTTGCCCCATTCCATCTGCAGATGGACAGTCAAATAGTGATCTCGGTGGCCCATGTGCAACTCAGCTCAGCAAAAATAATGTTTCATGGTGCCTCCTGTGATCCAAACAGTGCTGAAG